TCATGAGTGACGTTCAGTAAAAAATTGTAATAATTTAATGCTGAATAAAATATTTTAAATTTGAATATGTTTATTCTATTATTATTGACATAGATACAGAATGTTATAAATTGTATGAGAAGTTATTCATATAAAGCGTTGTTTGCACGATCTATGCAATCACTGCAAATTGTGCAAGGTTGAAACAATAAAAGATTGGGCCAAACGATCCGTTTAAATAGACAATCATCAACAGTCAGAATTATGTGACTAACTCGAACCTACCTGAACACTGTGCATGCTGTTTATTTACTAAAGTTATAAAACACATTATAAGACACTATTAACACGGTTTTATTATCTTCACTCGTGTCTTTCTATGTTGTCAAATCTTGGAAGACGATTAAACCTAATTCTAACTATATGTATAGAGTTATAATTTTAATATAATAAAATTAAAAAAAACACAATACAAAAACTTCATAAAATTATTTAGGAGCTGATAAAGACCCAGGATGTAGTAGATAGTGGAACTCTTCCACAGCTATGAATAAAACTATCGAGATTAAACTTATTTGATTCGCTATAAATATAACATTGGTGAAAAACATTTTTATTATTTTTTGATGATATTCGCTTGATCTGCGAGGATTCCAAAAAATGCATATATTTAATAACTAGGTATAAGTTTTGAAGCATTTAGTATCTTAAATGTAGCCAACATGCAACAGATTACAATCACGTGAACAATAAATACACTAAACTAGGCTTATATTTTACTAGCGACTCACCCTCGCTTCGCTCGGGTTCGTCCCTAGGTTGATTCCTCATACCAACTTTCATCCCCAGTTTCACCCTTTTAAGGGATGATTTCCGGGATAAAAAGTATCCTATGTTCTTACCAAATTTCGTCTAAATCGGATCAGTAGGTCCAGTGATTAACCCCTACAACGTCACAAACTCACAATTCACAAAATTTACCTCTTGATAATATTAGTATAGATAATCCTGTGTAGTATAGATAATCAAGTGAGAGCCTGTCGAGTACCAGTTAGGTTATCCACAACAAGTATTTTTTTTTAAATCGTACATTATGACATACGTATTGTTTATATATCTTATTAAACTAGTAGTTCTGCGAATAGCAGACATCGCGAGCACAAACTTTTTTGCAACAAATAATATACCACAAAATTTATGTGAGCAATTTACTGCATTTCGAAGAACTATTCTGCTCATCACGCCAAATCACCAAATTTTTATGAGATCAATTTAAAGTTACTACTTATTAAATAAAAAAAATACGATTTAAATCAGATCTCATAAGGCGGAGATATCCAGTAGCCTATTTTCGCCCTTTTTTGGAGGAAGTACCCCTCCAATCAAAAATCTCCGACGACACAAAAATCTATAAAGTTTTAAAACCTGCGTAGTGCCTACCAAGTTTCCAGGCCTCTACAGGTCTGGAAACTACATCGTACAGAGATCTGTAGAGGAGTACCGATAAACTGACAGAGAAAAGCAAATTTTACCAAACAAGAAGCAGAGACGCTTCGAATATTTGTAGAATAGGCTTATTATAGAATATCATTAATAAGTATTACGTTGGGAATATAATTTTATTATAGTAAGTATAGCAATTTACCTTATGTAGCGTCATGCATTGCAGCACATGTAATGTATTTTCAAGGTAATTACATACAGTTTTGTGGAGAGGTATTTATATTTTGCCAATAACATTTACTATTATATATCAGAATAGAAATATTCAAAACCCAAATATATTTATAAGGCATTGGACACATTAGGCTCAAAGTGAGAGCTTAAAAGTCCGATCTTTAATTACACTAGGTATAGGTCTAACTTTTCTCTTTCTTTTTAATAATTGCATGAAATAAAATTGCATATTTTCTTATAATACTTTCTTAGATTTACGCGAATATTTGACGTTTTAAATAAAACTATCTTTTCGGAATATTTCGCGGATATATTTTGATTTTTGTTTCCCGACGTTTCGAATGCTTTACAGCATCCATGGTCACGGGAGAGATGGATATTTTTATTTAAAATGCATATTTTCTTATTAAACTAATAAGCACAGTGGCACGAAAACATAAAATTTATAATGACTTTCTTGCCTAGTAGTTAATATACCAAGAGAACTATAAGCAATTTGACTATGTAAAGTGCTTTATGGCACTAATTACTGTTCTACATATTCAATGAATACTTTCAAAACCGCTACATATGGTAGCTTACATATTTTATTTTATTATATTATATTTTGTAAATAGCGCAGTTATTTTGTATTGGTAAGTTTAAATTAAGTAACTTAATTCTGTTTATAGGTTATTTATATGATTGTAATATTTTCCCTTATTTACGACTTAGTAATTTTTTTTCAATGAAATTATAAATATTTAGCTTTTTGCTTTGTCCACTGGTCTCTAGATGATTTATGTATAATCAGTACCTATAACTCATTTTTATGTCTTTAGTAACAAAAAAATAACACTCAATTTAAATTTTTGATACACATTAGAGCTCTTTAATTCATGGCAAAATTCAATACACCTACATAGGTCACGTATTTTTCAAGATGTTATTTGTACTGAATGAGTAAATAAATGACTTTTCACTTTTACATTCTCTTTCATCTAATATCATTCGACTTTGAAAAGATTTCTATTATACTAAATATTGAAATGATACTCGTAAAAGATGAACATATTTAATACGTTCTTAGATTTATGTTATCATTTTACATTGTAAGTATGTTTTCGGATTTTTTCGCGATTTATTTTGATGTTTGGATCCCAAAATATTTTGATTTTTATTTAAATGAACATTAAAATTTATAATAATGATCAACGCGCTAATAGTACAAACATTTTACATTATGCTCGTGTCTTATATTGCATAAATAATAGACTTGCAACAAATAGTATGTTCAGCTATACGCAGAAAACCGAATATTAGGCAAAAGTATTTGATCAGCGCAAAACTTGTGGTGGGAAAATTTGTATCGATGTGTTTGTTTCTTGTTTGGCGCCAGGAAGTAGAATTTCTTACTTTCAAGAGACTATTTTCTCTGATGCTAAGATTGCCACTTCTAAATTTTAATTATGATAATGCAAGTGCATACATATTCGATATTCGGCCGAATAGGAAAAAAGTAGCCGAATGGGCCGAATACCGAATAAGAGCCGAATAATTAATTAATAATACACTGTAAAATTCTTTTTATTTTAAATTACTGTTTTTGAGTCTTGACTCGTCATTAATAGTTACCACCACATAATTAATTACGTTGTATATATAATAGACTGCATTATAATAGGACCATATTATACGGGGTAAAAGTTATCACGAAACTTACAACATGTGTCCTCAATATTTTATTGATTCAAGCAAAAACTATGATGTACGCAGATAGTATACTTTATCATCGTTCATTTAGCTTATCTTGTAGATTTACTTCTTTGGCCTATTTCATTTTAGTAAGTCAAATTCGACATACCTATATTTACATAATTTGAAATAATATTGAAACCTAGTAGGTATATTAAATAAATGTTAGCTTAGAAAATTTTGTTTTTTATTTTATAAATTAGGTATGAATTATTATGAGGAATAATGGAGGAAATAAACTTGATATTTTTATTTAGATTTAAAAACGAATTCATAACAATTTACGACTTTTAACAAGATTTCTATCTTTATTGGTTTACTTAATGGAGAGAGTTCGCAGCATTTCTAGTATAAACGTTTGTTTTATGTTACTATAAATTGTCTATCTCTGAAAGGAACAATCGAAAGTTATGTTATTATTTATTGAGCAATTAAAAATTCAGAGGAAGTGGACTCGTAATTATGTTTTTGTGTGATTTTTATAATAATTTATATTTTAATAAATAGGTTATACTCGTACCTCAATAATCTCATATGAGTTTGAAGAAAAAACATTCGATTCCTAATGATGGAATTTTACACTCATTTTCTTATTATTTTGGTGTTTCTTTTTAGTGAGAAGTATTTAAAGGATTATATAATAATAAATTCAGGTGAGCTATAAAGTGTTTATTTTTATTACAAATAACACTTATTTCCAGTGATTCAGCGGGATCAATGGAATGGGTCAAAGATCAAGGCACACTTGTGCTGTTGATAAAATGAATTATGAATGAACTGGCTACTTAAGTGCTTTAGATGGTGACTTAGTGCCTAACGTATTATGTAAAATAATACATTGTCATGTTATAAAACCAAGGATCTTCTAAGCAAAAGTTTTAGATTTACATATACACTTAAAAGGTTTGTGAGTAGTACGGGTGTCTGGAACACCCATACTCCTTTGTAAACACTTAAAAAATATAATATGTTCGGTTAAGTTCCCCCTTTACTTAGAGTTTTATTACAATTTAGCTAAGTACGTAAATATCGCAAGCCAAGTTGTACAAAACATATATCTAGCAAGTACCTATCACTTTAAAAAGATAACGTGATAAATTATCGTTTTTGGCTGAACACAGATAAAGCTTAAATATATAAAACTATAATATTAAAATATATAAAAATGACATTTCGTATCATGTGAATGTATAGTAGATAATTGTTATCAAGTATCTATTCCTAACTCTTTCAAGGATAATATGAAACTGTAATGTTAACTGTTTATTAACAAATCTATCCCACGGGAACCGTACAATTTTCGGGGATAAAATGTAGCCTTTGTGTTCTTCTGATGTATGAGTTATATTATTGTAATGTTTCATTAAAATCCAGTCAGTAGTTTTTGCGTGAAAGAGTAACAAACATCCATACATCTATACATCCAGACACCCATACTCCTCACAAACTTTCGCATTTATAATATTACCTACAATAAAAAAAAACATCCTACATATTTTTATTTGTGCCTCATAAAATGTGTGCGACGTTTCCAAAACTTGGCCTAATCGATATATTAAACCGTAAGGTCGATATAATAAAGAAAAATATTATTAATCAAATATTCTTACCTTAAATAATTAGGGTGGATTTTCACTGTTTGGCTACTCAAAGACGCAGTAACAGGTTTGGGCCACAGACCGCCAAATCTTCCACAAACAGTCCTGCACAAGTCCACACTATCGAAACTTGACAACGAAGAAGATATATTAGAGGCAATAGGCTGTGGACGCTCAGATCTTTGACATCCTTCATCTGGAACGCATTTGTATGTCCATGATGGCCTAGTAAATTAAAAAAAATAGTATCGTTAGAACGCTAAAGTAAAATTTATGGAGAGCAATTTATCTATAAGTTACAGAGTCGTCATAGTCCATTCCGGGGCCCTAGGGCACACGAGAATGTGGGGCCCTATTGGAAAGTAAAAAACTGACCAAGTAAGGCTCGAACTCGCCCACTTAGGGTTCCGTATACCTAACTTTGGTGTTATCGATTCGAGATTTATAGCGAGAACAAGACTCGCACTTGACCAATTTTTATTATTTGTTTTATTTTATAAAGTTCACACTATAAACGTACCCTACGTTACGAACCTAAAAAAGTAAATAACAAAATCGTTTTTCTGCTATGATTTTATATTTATTATGGTTAATTGATACAAATCGATTACCAGATATGTACTCGTATGCCGGTTTGAGTTTGATATGATTACGATAATGGTTTCTTCCGGGATTTCTCTTTTTCCAAATCTTCTATTATATCCTTTAAATCTAGTTCTTGAAGGAAATCACTTTCTATGCACATAATTGACAAATAAGTTAATCGTTCATGCACATTATTGTTCGTTATTCATTCTTTATAGTCTTGAGTCATGAAAATAAACGCTCTCCGCTATAATTTGTAACCATTATGCAAAGGAATATTCTGGTAGCAACATCAACATTTGGTAAAGTTTCTTCTAATTCATCTGTCTTAATTAGGTTATGTAAGGTTAAGATACTCAAATCAACTGATTCCTTTGATATTTTCTATAAATACTGCTTTAAATGAAAACATTCTGATGTGAGCTCAAATGCATTCATGTCTTTGTTAAAGAATTCTGCAAATTTTCCGCATTTTTTATCAACTATTTAGACTCAATTGTTATTATTAACTAACAAAGGAAAGTAAAACTATCTTTTCGGATTTTTTCGCGAATTTCTTTTGATTTTTGGTTCCCGACGTTTCGAATGCTTTACAGCAATCATGGTCACGGGAGAAGCAATCGAGTCTCTCCCGTGACCATGATTGCTGTAAAGCATTCGAAACGTAGGGAACCAAAAATCAAAATAAATTCGCGAAAAAATCCGAAAAGATAGTTTTATTTAAAATGACAAGTATTCGCGTAAATCTAAGAAAGTATTAAAGGAAAGTGAAACTATTGTAAATTTCTTGGTATATTGCTGAATGATTTTTAAGTGTGAGTATAGTGTGTCGATTTTATAGGAATGAATGAACATACCTACACGAAATCTTTCCTTGCTAGTCAACTGTACAACCCACGATGATCCTTCATAAAAAGTAATACGTGTGCTGCTACTCTCTCTCTTTTAAACTTATCTTTATAGTCAGTGTTTGCTTTTTTTCTTCCTTTAGCAGCTGATTCGCGCTGATCGAAATCATTGCGTGCGTTATTGACTTAATCGATCAGAGATGCATAAAGTTTTATCGCAATGTCCATGTCCATAGTGCTTTTTTGTAAACTTAAGCTTGTTTTATTCATTATTCCTAAAAGAATACTCGATATCTCCGCTAGAAGAATAGTCTTATTTTTCAAATTTGGGAATCCCTCAACCATAGACAATGTTGACTTTTATATGTAGGTTGAATATCACAACCTTACTGTCGGAATGGTTTGTATAGTAGTCGTTAGATGGCGTTGTTAAGATTAGTTTTACTTTCTAGTTACATTTTCATTATTACTAAAATGTCTAGTTTCGAAAAAACTGTGATCTGATGTCTAACTAAACATATTTAATTTAAAATTGTTGGTAGTATTTCTTAGTAAGTCTAAGTAGACAGACCAACAAAAAAGTCTAAATGGTAGCGAAATATAAAACTACATAATGTAACTGGCAATTATTATTACCGCTGAGTGTTTCCAGACAATCGAAAAAAAATCCTCATTTAAATAAAATAAAATATTTTTGTTGGACTATATCAATCTAAAATATAAAATAATTTTTCAGTATAAGCGAATACATCGGCCTATCGGGGGCCGCATGAGAATGGGGGCCATGGGCCCGAGCCCCGTGTGCCCTTATGGTAACGTTACGGCGACGACGGTACTTGGGCAATAATGATTCACATTCCTTATAAAATAATTTTGTGTTTAGTGTCTCAACTCTGTTTACCCTCAACATACTTAGTGGCTTATTTTCATTTAGATATAAAATGATTATCTAACTTCTTAAAATGAATTAAAAAAAATGTCTCTAGAATAGTTGCTTTACGCAAATATTTGTATTTTTAACTTAGCCTTCATTTAAAATATAAACTTACACATATTCGATTGGTGTAATATTGTGATTAATAGAATTCTCGTCGCAGCTCACTGTGTACGTTACTACCACAATGGCAATAATCCATCGTGCCCTCATCTTCAGGTTCCTAGAATAAAAGTTTTCAATTATTAATCGATAAAAGATCAGGAATTTATCTAATTTATTTATAAATATACTGAACTGCAGTCAAAGTAAAAAGTGACTGAATGAAAAGTGGGCTAGACAGTGCAGTCTTTTTTAAAATCTAAACATATTCAGATCTTCCGTATTTTCAAATTATATATGGTATACGTAATTTAACTGGCCTTTTCACATTTTTCGAAGTTCAAAATCAGGTGGCAAAGGAAGTTCAAACCTAAATATAATTTTTAATGTTTCTGAATTCCCCCAGAAAACACATTTTCATAAAACCATAAATATTCTATGAATATATTGTTTTGATATTTATTTAATAATTTCACTTACATGTTTACATCATATTAAAATAAAATAAATAAATTAAGCAAGTGATAGTATAATAAAAACCTTATAACAACATTTTTTATTCTAGTTTATAGAAAGCACTTAAATCAAATGAATATTCAAGTTGTAGCACATAATACATATGCAGTTAGTCGTACTATGTGTTGTTGCGTGCGCTAACGGGACGCGTTATCGCGATGATGCTTCCATTATCGGAACTTCACGTCGCGACTATACCGCGACACTTCCGCACGCGATTCGAACACGACATCATGTTAATTAAAGGCAATAGCAAATATGAAGTGGATTTCCACTTCTTATAATTTCTTCCCGTTTCATAAAGTAACAAGTGCTTTGCCGCGACTCCTGTTTTACTTATGAAGAATTGCTACGCTCCTAAGCGTCGTAGAGTGATGTTAGGTAGCCTATAATAATATAGATATAATTCAAATCTGACTGGTAATTTTAGAGATTAGACAATTCAAATAAATAAACAAACACACTTTTCAGTTTTTTATTTTAGTATAGATTAAACTATAGCGACCTGCCATCGCATCACTCATAGTTCCCACCTCTTTATGTGTCGCGTAAATTTTGAACGTGCAAAGTACATATGTACTCCTATATATTATACCGCATATACTATATATTTATGCCAGGATAATATATAGCTGCAGGTTATCTATTAAGAGTAATGTTTTTTCTTAAGATTTATAAGAATTTTTATGAAATTATTTCAAAAATCATTTGATTTGATGTTTACAAGTATACTTACAAACTCTACCTTTTATGATCGACTCCAAAAAGGAGGACAATACTCAAGTCGCATTTATGTATATTTTTTTTATTATTTAATGGGCTATTAGGTCTTTTTTTAATTAATCAAGAGTGAGGTGGCATGTTAACAAAAATAGAGCTACTATTCGAGCACTAAAATATTTAAATCTTTTTCTGTTTTTAGTGTCATATCTGTTCTATAGCTATTTTAAAATAATATGTTTAATAAATATGTATATATGTATATATAAAATATAGATATTAATTATAGATATTAGAACATTGCTTACGTACGTACAATACTATTTTGTTAATAAAAATATTTATGGACTTTGTCCTATGAAATATCGCTCTACTTTATTTTTGCAAGGTAATCCATATTTTCATACTAATATTATAAATGTGAAAGTGTGTTTTGTTTGTTTGTCTTTCTTTCACATCGAAACGGAGTGACGGATTGACGTAATTTTTTGTGTGAAGATAGTTGGAGGGCTGGAGAGTGACATAGGCTATTTTTTATCGCTGGAAATAATCTCATTCCCACGGGAAAACACGTTATAAAACAACCCAAAAATTATTTATGAACAGAATTACTTGAAACTTGGTATGAATGCTCTTCAATATAATTAAATAAGTTTTTTAGCATTTTTCGAAATTTATCTCATAAGGGGGTAAAATAGGGGATGGAAATTTGCATGAAACCTACCTTTTTAGAGTTTTTTTTATAGTTTAGCGCAAGCGAAGCCGCGGGTTCTGCTAGTACTACATATATCTATCATCTTCATTTCATAGAATTCTATGGACTAGATTTCAATTAAATTATAATTTTACTGGACACAATGAGGATTGATATTATGAATTAGGTACTCTAGTTAATTTACCAGTTCCGTGCTAATGAATAAAATAACCATAAGGTTACACCATAAGAATTTTTACATTCTAGTGATTCTAGATGTAAATATAAATGATTACCCGTATCTCCAAACAAGTGTTTTACCATTGCTTCGCTCGGGTAGCTATCTCTAAGAACCTAACCAGTAATCAAAGTGTTACTTCGAGTCATAGTCTATACCTACATACGTGTACTAAACATCCAAATCTGTCCGTTTAAACTTGAAGGAGTAACAAACACACAAACACAGAAAAATTACCCATAGGGTGCAAATGACGATAAGTAATTTTATATATCTCAAACAAAAATAAAGATGCACATTTAGTAAAAATAAATTGTTATGGATAAATCATAAATATTTTTAGTTTTTGTTATTTTTAATTGTTTTCATAATTAATGAAAGTGTGATTTCTTTGAAAGCAGAGAACTTGTTTTTTGCCATTTGATGCCATTGTTACAGTCACCAAGTAGGTATCGATAACAATCTTAAAATAATTAAAAAAAAACATTCACGGAAATTGTTTTTAATACTCGTACAATTCATACTAATAAATGCTCAATAACTAAAAAATGATGCACATTTAGTAAAAATAAATTGTTATGAATAAATCATAAATATTTTTAGTTTTTGTTATTTTTAATTGTTTTTATAATTAATGAAAGTGTGATTTCTTTGAAAGCAGAGAACTTGTTTTTTGCCATTTGATGCCATTGTTACAGTCACCAAGTAGGTATCGATAACAATCTTAAAATAATAAAAAAAAAACATTCACGGAAATTGTTTTTATTACTCGTACAATTCATACTAATAAATACTCATACTATAATTTAAGTATAAAATCTGCAGGCTTTATTGTAACAATATAAATATATGTATATAACGTTATATTATAATATAACTAATAATTAAGTATATTATTATTTACAGTATTTTACATGAAAATATGATTTGAAAAAAGTAAACAATTTTTTATGTATTTTGGTATAAGCACAATTATCGTACAAACTAGTTAACATAAGTGTAAATGAATAAATTGACATACTTACTTTGTAATTATTAACCGACTTCAAAAAAGAAAAGGTTCTCAGCTGTATTTTGCTAGGTATATATAATTTGACGCGTTTACTTGCACTATAAAATTGGATACAATCACTACCTAGCACACAAGTCACACAACTATCACTTTCGATTCGTACGTTATTTAAATCGTATATCTAAAAGTCAAATGGAGACTATAAATTTTTATATAAAATTTAGATTCAGAATGCAAAAATAAGTAACCGGCCTCAGTTAAAATTCATAGCCTTGGATCGGTTTCGCTGTGTCCTGACGAACAGAATTGTTTTTATTTTTCCCGCAAAAGTCGAACTGAACCGGACTGAGCTTTTTGCTTTATTTATTTAGTATTTTTGCGAATCGCACACTGGCGTTCGCGACGCGGTTTGCGTGTGATATGGTCTGAGTCTTGCTTGAAATCGTTTTAAGTAGTAATTTTGTTAAGTTAACACTGCTTTAGCATTATCAAGCATTGATAAAGCCGCGCGTACGGGCGTAGGGCGCGAACTACTCTGATTGGGTGACTGGCGACGATTCTCAGTAAGTGCGATTTGGCGGGAGTTCCGTGCCACAATTATGTAACTATTTTATGATAATTATGAGGAGTTCCATTGTTTCTATCTAAAATTGAACTATTGAAGCTTGTGAGTCTCTTATCTATACATATAATAAAATTCTAATTGAGTCAAATCTGTACATTAAATATTTTTTGGAAAATATTATTGAAATAAACATTACTATCGATACGGAGGCCGAATCTATAGTTTTTAGAATTTTTTGTCTGTCTGTCTGTCTGTCTATTACCGCATCACAGAAAAACTACTGGACAGATTTTGATGAAATTTGGTATGGTCATAGCTGATTATCCGGGTCAACATATAGGATACTTTTTACAGCGGGAGAACATCTCATTTCTGAGAAAAAATACAAAAACTGTAATGTAAGAGTATACTAATATGTAAAACCTAAGAATTTGGTTTTTGGTCATCTGAACGCAGGCAGAGCCGCGGGCAATGCTAGTTTTTTATATAATTAATTGGTGCTATGTCAATATAAGGAACCGGTATATATGTAAGCCGGTTTATAATACATTTAAATAATATATTTCAGCATTTAATGCTCATTTTCATATATTTTCTAATAATTATGTATATGATGTAGTCTCTAGAAATCTTAAGTAACTTTTTGTAACATGTAAATGAATCACTTACGGATAAATGTGAGTTATAAATATGTCACTCTCCGTCCCATAAAAGTATCTGTATGCAAAAAAATCATGATTTGTTGCTTTGTTACTAAAGAAAAAAAAAACAAATACACTTCCGCATTATGTCACAAGCGAGGAGTAATTTAAACAATCGACTCATTTTCAAAAAGTTTAGAACAACTTAATAAAAATGACTATTCAAAAAAGTAGAGCTTTCTTTAGTACCCAAATATAATGTCTCTATAACAGCTTATAAGGATAATTTAATATATCAATTAAAAAAACCTTGTTACAATAATAAATATACTTACAGCTTATTCATACTAAAACTATGTGTTTATTAAAACAATATTATTATTATATTAACATATTTATTAATAGGTAATAACAGAAATATTATAATTAAATATAATTTAAATAAAATCTTACTTTTCCTAGTTATTGTAAAGTTAACAAATGAATATTAAAGTACATGGAGATTACAATAACATTTTCTACAAACAGTATTATATTGTATTCTATAGAGAGCCGGTAGAGTCATTAAAGTGCCGTGAGATCAATTAAAACTTTATCGCATCCTTGGCCACTTATAAAAGAATAAAAACAAATGTACAAATCATATAAAATACCTATTCAATTGTCAACAATATAAAACAGGCCTTATAATAACACTTTTTTTAAATGCTTAAGTTTTAGTTAGAGACTCCGTGAATTTGTTACCTTTTCATATGAGTGAAATTCCATATGAAAATAGCTTATATCCTGGACTTTAAAAATGTACCTATGACGGAAATAGTGTATACATATATCTAATTTTAAAAAGGTTTAAGTTATCGTTTAGCAATACAATATTATTACTGGAAAAATTTGTATGTATGTTTTATTTAGTGTAAGCTATAGAATGCCATATAAGTGTAAAGTGATGAGGAAGTGTCATAAACAACTCTATTCAGAATTTCATTAGAGATTGAAATACGGGCGGGTACCTATTCTAGTATAGTTCGATTTTATTAATAGGCGAATACACGAATAGCCCTTCGCTTTTCTGACGTCAATAACGATGTAGCCAAAACCACTCCTACAGATTACATAAATGGGCCACCTCCTCGTCCATAATTTTATAGTACTATTCAATACTTTATTACTTGACATCAGACATTATTTTAAATACTAATATTTATATAATTACCTACTTTAATTTCAATTTTTTTCTTAATGGATGTTAGTTGAATAGAAAACTAGAGTAACAAAAGAACATGAAGTCGTTTCCATTACAAATAAAAAAAATATATGAAACAGATGACGGTTTGTAAAAGGCAAATATACCAAGTGTTATAATTAGTAGTAATATAGTTAACCTATTAGTTTTAATGTAAATTCAATGAGATCAAACTTTTATACAGAATATAAGTTAAATCAATTATTTTTACACACCCTCGCTTCGCTCGGGTTCGTCCCTAGATTGCTTCCCCATACAAACTTTCACCCCTACTTTCATCCCCTTAAAGGATGATTTTCGAGATAAAACCATCCTATGTCCTCCCCAGGGTCTCAAACTATCGTCTTACCAAATTTCAACTAAATCGGTACAGTAGTTTCGGAGCCTATTCGATACAAACAAACAGAACAATTTTTTCCTCTTTATAGTATTAGAATAGATGTATATTTTAACTACGCGATAGAAGTTGTAATAGTTCTCGATGAAACAATTAACTTATAGCGACTGCAAATCGGTAAAGCCATTATGTATTTATGTTAATGAGCATAAACCACTAATACGAAATAAGTCAACCAAATACTTTGTTCATAATCATCAATACATATTATTTTGCACAAAACCTTTTCTCATCATATAGCTATCTATAGATATTTAGTATTTACTATTTACCTATAGTATTATTATAAACTAGAAAACAAATAAATTGGTTATAAGTAGGTACCTTCTAGAATGTAAATTCGTTGAAGGGAATTTTCAAACAATAAAAATAAAATAAAAATTTAAACACGTAAATAACATAGAAAATACACATTAGTAAAGGATCCGAGACCAAAATTCAATGTTAAAAATTTCTGAACGGACCAAACGTTTTTAAGGTGACCCAAATGGACGAACAAAGAAACAAACGATTCAAACAAACTTAAACAAGCTTTGTGTGAATTACGCTAACCGTCTACCAGCTGACCTTAAAACGTATGTAAGCGATAGAATTTTCAAAAGCAAATACTTTATACATATAACATTTAATGTAATATTTCTGAAACCATTGACATAAGCATTGTAATAGAAAAATCTGATATAAACTTACCAAGAGAATTCATACTCGAGCTTTGATCTTGCCCAACGCAGTCCCGTTACCTGCATTCGACGTGGGAGTAGTCAATAGTCATGGTGTGGAACGCCATTGTCTGTGCTAAATGCGCTTGCTCTTCTAGGTTTATGCCATTTGTATTTATCTAACGAGAATTTATAATACCTTTATAATAATTTCGTGTAGTACATTTTGTGGCTTAATACGCTATACATACATTTTTCTATACTTATTAATAAAACCAGACCTTGATGTCCGCCTGATGTTTATCATTTTTTTATTGGAAAGAAAAGACTTAATCGTATCGAAAAGTTTTGTCATTGTATAGATAAAAGTCTCAGTTAATGGCATGACTTTATTCATATGGTCGAGTAAATCTGCAGATACAATTTGATCCCGCAAGCCCCAATTTATACATAAACTAGCAGAACTCGCGGCTACGCTCGCGCTAAAACTATCTAAAAAGGTAGTTTCATACAAACTTTCATCTCCTATTTAATCCCCTTATAGAATGAATTTTGAAAAATTCCAAAACTCGTATTTATTTTATTTTATTGTAGAGCATTAATGCCAAGTTTCAAGTAATTCTGATCATGCATATTTTTTTGGATTGTATTATAACTTGTTTTCCCGTGGGAATGAGATAATTTCCTGCGGTAAGAAGTAGTCTATGCCACTCTCCAGCCCTCCAACGATCTCCACACAAAAAATCACGTCAATCCGTCTCTCCGTTTCAACGTGAAAATCTTATTGAAATAATCATCATTATCGAGACAAAGGCCGAATCTATAGTTTTTAGAATTTTTATCTGTCTGTTTGTCTGTGTGTCTATCTGTGACCATATCACGGAATAACCACTTGAGGGAATTTGATGTATGATGGTAGCTGGTTATCCGGGTCAACATAAAGGATACTTTTTACTGCGGGAAAATATCTCATCTCAGAGAGATATATACTAAACATTAAAATATAATAATATTAATAAGTAGATTAATAAGTATTGATAGATTAATAAGTAGCGATGTATTTCTTTCAAAATAATGTCAACACCTGCAAACAACAACATTATTACTCAATATTGAGATTTATTTCTATAAGATTCTAGCAAGGAACAAGAGTTCCTTTGTTCCAAGATTGTCGAAATACAACATAATTTCTAAAATTAATATTCTGACTAACTCTTCGCATACAAAATTATGTATTAAGCACAAACTTTCAAAACCAATTTCTCTTAAATTCCAAATTATGCCGCTTTAATGTTTTTGGTTTTTAAATCCTTATATGGTTTTAGTAAAAAAGGAAATTTTATTTTGGCCATACAAATGCTTGTCGCGGTTTATCACAATATATGTATAGACAATAGAATAAGGTGTATAATTTTTCTAATTATGCTTTAATCATTTAATGACCGCGGACACGCCGGCGTTACAGTTGACAATAGATTTATTAGAAATTTACCTGGAGGTGTTAGAAGTACGTGCTTAGAGCTGTAGAAATACGTATTCCAATTAAACGAAGAATACCATAAATTACTGTAAATTGATATTCAGATCCGCACCACTTCATGTAACATTCTCATGAATCACAAATAATATAGATTGAACACACGCGGAATTGTAGTTTACGCTTGTTGAGTGAAAGTGACAGAGTAGCGAAAGTCTTGCAGTAGGTAGTACCTACTTAGATATTGTGAACTAACTTTTTGCTGTGACATTTGTCTTGAATTATAATTTATATGTCATAGGCTAATGATTATTTCTGACTCAAGTTATTGAAGACTGCTTGATTGACTGACTGATTTCATCATGAGTATCTATCTATGTATGTATATAAAACAAAGTCGGGTTTGTTACAACACTTATAACTCGAGAACTGCTAGACCTGGACCGATTTTTATGATCTTTGTTTTGTTGGATTTGTCTTCATCCCGAATAGCATAATAACCATTAAAACAACGGAAAATTCATGAAAAAAAAATCTATTCCATACTAATCGTCAAAACGTACCTGGGGACGAACCTTAGCGAAGCGAGGGTGAGTCGCTAGTATAGGATGAGTTGGATAGTATTTCCTCGTACTAATTTCAAAAATCCACATTTTTTCATACCTACTACAATGTTTGTTTATATTTAACCCGTAAACCATAAACCTGTAAACTATTCAAATTAAACTAAATTTAAGGGTTTTATGTTTTAATTTTAATTTTAAATTATAATTAAAATTATAAAAATGTTTAAAGTTAAAAAATATTGTAATGTAATTGGTGCAATTTTCATTTTGTTAATTGTGGGTAGGCTGTCTGTAACAACTATACCTCCAAGACATGTAACACCTCAGTCTCTCCCGTGACCATGGATGCTGTAAAGCATTCGAAACGTCGGGAAACAAAAATGCAAATAAATCCGCGACAAAATCCGAAAAGATAGTTTTATTTAAAATGTCAAATATTCGCGTAAATCTAAGAAAGTATTAAAGCAATATAAATTAAAAATGAATTAATACTTATTATTTACATATCTAGTAATTTAATTTAAAATTCCCGCGTCAATTAAAAAACCAATATTTATTGAAAAGCAAAGGCTGAATTTCATAACACCTATATTAATACATATTTTTAAACTCAATTAAAAGTCAGACATTATATGGATTTTATGTTATAATAAACAAAATTATCTACGAAAAAATATCTTATTTATTATTATTTTTTGAAATGTATTTTATAATTTTTAATTCATATCATCTGTCAAATGAAAGATAATGTAATAACTTTTGAATTTTTTATAAGCTGGCAACATTTTGCTTTACTTCAGAGCTCAGGTTGGTTTCTTTACATTATTAGTGTGTATTTTAGTTACATTTATCGCGTTTAAAATTTTAAAATGTATACTGTCTCAAAAGGGCCTAGCAAAATTGTCGCGAAAACACGAAGAGGTAATTTTATACAAACAAATATTCTTAATTTACACATCAGAATCTAAAGCGGTCTTATGAAAGAAATATTTCAATTTTCAGGCTTAACACAAAATTTAGAAAGATTGGACAGTCGTAAAGATTATAACAGAAAGTCTTCAGACTCTGACAATGGCGAAGTTGTAAGGTAAGTTCAAATTAAGTTCAATGATGCAATGACGAACACTAATTTTCATGAGTGTTTTTACATAACCTCCGGCCGGAGGTCGATATCACTTGAATGCTCATATTATAAATAACTAAACCATGCTTTACTTTCTATTATTTAAAATAATCAATAAATTCAGTTATGTTTGGCTGCTAATTGATTTTAATAATGTCATATTTTAATTGACACTTTCAGCATGCCCAAACCAGTTTTTCATTCCAATGGCAAAAAGACAGTGCACCAAAGAATACAGCATCATGTGATTACCCCTCAGCATGAAGAAATAATTAGATATATTAGTGAGAGTAAGTTACATAGTTAATTTTAGTTTAATTATAAACAGTAATGGGATATAATTAAAATAATACACACTAACGCTTTTTATAATTGTATTTTAAAAGTAAACAAAAAAATGAAATAGTTATTTAAATGTTAATTCATTGATGACTTAGTATAAAAAATCCAATTATTATCTATTATTAAAAGCTAAGTAAAAAGTTGCAGTTATAAAGGTAATTTTGATTGGCATTATCTTTTAATTTATGAGTTACATATAGCATTGTAAATGTTATATAATATTATCCTTTTTAGCTTGGACACAAACTGCAAATGGTGATAGTGAACCATCAACACCAACAAGTACAATCGGTAAGTGATTGCTCGTTAATTTTAGTGATTGCCGTTAATAAATCAAATAGTGAAAGTGTAATATAAAATAAAATGCACATACATATAATAAGACTTACCAATTACATTCAAGATCCAATTGAAATGAATTGTCACTTGTTATAGTCAAATTAAACATGTGATTGAACATATTAAAATGAATTTAGTAGTCTGTTTTTGCCAAGAGAATTGGAAAAACGTTATTTACTATTTTACACGAACTCTTTGTTTTTATATTAAATAACAAAAAAGGTGTGTCAATTCTTGCTTCAATTTCTCCATATATGTGGAAAGTATATTATGTAACCTTGGAGAATTAGTGAATATTGTCGATCAATCTCTTTATCATTCCTCTATCACGGCAGACTAATAGATAGGTGTCCTAAAAATTTTTGAAGATTTTGTACACCAGAAAAAACCTTCTATTTTTTAAAGAATTTTGGCATTATGTGTAGGTACTTTATACCCATTTTACTATTTCGAAATAATAACAATATATTAAAGTTATGAGTTTAAAAATATTGTATCTTGTTTTTGAAAACATATAATTTGATAATATGTAAAATATAAAAACAAAAATTTAATGTCCTTTTATTGTAGAAAACTAAAATAGCATAACCAAGGTCAAATATATTTGGCACATTTGCACATTTATTTAGTTTTTATCATAGTACTTACAAATCTTTTGAAGTAAAATATATGCAAAAAAAGGTATTTTCTTAAGAGATCTAAAGATATTATTATCTATACTATTATTATAAATGTGAAAGTATGTGTGTATGGATGTATGGATGTTTGTTACTCTTTCACACAAAAAGTACTAAACGGATTTTAATGAAACTTTACAATAATATAGCATCAGAATAACACATAGGCTACTTTTCATCCTGGAAAAATGTACGGTTCCCGTGGGATAGATTTGTTTTTGTTTTTCACAGAGCAAAGATTGACTATCTAATCCATATTAACCGTTAAAAGGTACCTAGGGATTAATGAGTCGCTAGTTTATTAGAGCTGTTACTAATTTATTTTATTTAATATTGTAGGATCTGGCAGCTCTTCTCCCGCACCACCTTCAAATTTATATTACCAAGATGAAGCCCCAAGCCCCGTCCTACACGACTTCAAGCCATTCGATCTTGAAACCTGGTGGGGCAAGAGGCTATTCCAGAACATTACAAACTCTCTATAAGATTCATCTACCAATAAAATGGGAACATCAAATTCGGTAGCATAAGTCACAATCAATTGCAGTTTACTAAATTTTATACTACATTTATTATAAAAGCAAGATATTTTTGTGAAGCAATTTTTAAATCATATTATCTCATCGTCATATCAATCAGATCTATTCTACCTTACAGGGATTGTGGTACACATTTATTACAAAGCTTTTAAATGCTTTAATTTTATTCAATGACCGATAAATAAATTTAGTAATCTACAGTTGATTGTGGATCTCAGTAGGTAACACCTTATTTCGTTGTAAGAGAACATTTCCGAAGCTCAATTATTGCAACTGGCTTTGCATTCGAACCAATATTCTTTAAGATTGTTTTGTTGTATGAATGTTATCTTTTTTTTTGGATGTTTATATTATCAATTGTTTCGAATCGTGTATACCAAAGAGTTTTAAATGTAACAAAGCATGTATTGCCAAATATTAATGATGTATTTTAATTAAATAGGTAAGGGCCATTACCATCACATGTAAAATGTAAGTATTAATCTTAGCGTCTCGGACATTGTAAATCATTACACCATCACAAGATTACTTAAAAAAATATTTGAATTTTGCTCGAACCATAGTTATTAGTTACAATTTTCAAATAATAAAAAGGAAATTATAATTAAGTATCTGTAATGTTTTTAATGAATACACTGTACCTGAGCAACTAAGAGACTAGTTGACATTGGAAAGTCAAAACTTTTGTTTATCTGCTTACTTGTTACATAATTGTAAGTGCACAAGCACAGTCAATTGTTTTGGTTTTAATTTTACTACCATTTGCTGTAAATTAAAAATATTTTGAAATTCCTGTGGTATAGCATGAGATTTCAGTCTTGATATTTGTTGTTGCTAATAAATAACAATATGAATAATATTACATTTTTATGAAAAATAGTAAAAGTAAGGAAATTAAAAGTCTTTAATAGTGCACTTTTCAGTGATCACGCCCTATATTACACCTATTTGAAATAAGATTGTTATTTAGCCCTTATATTTGCAATTTTGAAATTAACTACATTTTCTGATCCTCTAGCTTTTGTATACTAAGCATGTCATATGTTATCCGATAAAACTATTAATTACTAAGTCTTCAAAGAATTCCTATTAATTGCTAAATACATAGTAACTTTGTGATATTAAATAAAATATATTTGAAATTGTACATGTAAGGGTTAAAATTTTCATCGAAACGTGCAATACTTTTCATTACATCCTTTTATATACAAATGTTTACGGTTACGAAGTCAGTATTTTAGCGCGTTCTAGCTTGATATATAAATTGTTGATGTTATGCCGATAGATTATCTCTTTGAAGTTATACTTCTTTTGGCACGTTTGGAAAAATATTAAGAGTAAAATTTTCAAGATGCGCGCGCGCACCGACAGCCAAAAAGCGACATGATGAAGTTAGCTACATTCGTTTTATAAACACAGAGTTGTGACATACGGGATGAAATCTAGCTATTTTTGTTCTGTTACGTCAAAGAAGTATAACTTCTTACGTGCGTACATAAGTACACACACACGTTTTTTGATTGTTATGTTTATGCTTCTTGTGCTTGAAGCGTGATGTCTTCCATTTTGATCGGATGATTTTTGTATAAATCTTTGGAATATTGGTTTAGTTTCGTTTTTGGCTGTTCCATAATATATCAATTCTACATTCGGCTTACGAACATCATGTATGAATTGGCTAAAAATACTTTTATATTTATGTACATTGAAATATTTTCCACAGAACATTCTATTTCGTTTACTTATTAAAGAGCGAATTACAAATCGAATTTAAGTATATTGTATTATACACAGTTAGACAAGGATCGCGGGCGTTCTATATGATTTTGTTCAAACTTTAAATGGACAAGCACCGGAATAGTTTTATCCTTTTAGATGGAATATTTAGTAGTGATATTAGCAGGAGGTAGAATATTTTTAGACTGATTTAGTTATTAAAAGTTATGCTTTTTGTTGTAGTTGAATAAACCACCTGACAAAGTTGATAAAGTTTTTTTTTCTGTTTCCCTATTTTATTATCTACTAGCGGCTTACCCTCGCGTCGCTCGGGTGCATCCCGATATATTTTTTAAAGTGGAACTCTAATTATTTTTTAAAATAAAAGTAGTCTTAAGTTACTCCTTATAAGTCCAGCCGTTTTGGAAATTAGCCGGAACAAACAGACAGAAAAAAAAATTAAAATTATGTTTTCCTTTTAAGTACCTCATATAATTTCTTATGCACTTATTAAAAAGTTGTTATTTTGACATTACAAACAGACACTTCAATTTTATTTATCTGTATAGATGTCGAGGCACCTTCGACAGATTTGGATTGAAAGTTGTTTTACAAATATATATTATTTTTTATTAAATAGACTTCATGCAAGCCCTCAACAATTATACTAATAATCATTTATTTGTACCTGATAATTTTAAATGTGTAGAAATCAATAAATATTCGGTAAAGATATTTAGCTCTTAACAGTAGAAAAATAGACATATTTTTTTTAAGAACTAACGAAGCACACAAGTATTTAAACAATGCCTTATATTCGTAAATAACTAATTTAATATTTTAGCTTAATGTACTCCAAGACCAAAAAATTAAATACGGACTACAAAATGCTCTACATTTATTAAGTTGTCTTGAAAGTAGCCTTCGGAAGTCTAGTAAATATGAAGAGAAGTTGATGAAATGTAGAAAGTCACATAGCCATTCCCATACTACCGTTGATTGTTGGACCAGCGATAGCGACCAAGAAAATATGAAAGACAAATATTGTCACACAGGTTCATTTTCCTAAAAATAATATTAACCTTAACACAGTGATGACACGTTTGGCTCAGTTTCTAGTGACTCTACTTGCTGTACCAGCGGTCTCGGGTTCGAATCCTGCTGGTGGCATTCATTTGTGTGATGTTTGTACCTACTCCAGTCTTGGGTGCTTAAATTTATGATATGTATGTATTTAAAGTTTATACGTGTAGTGTATCAACTATCTGGTATCCATAACACAAGCCTCGTAGCTTACCATGGAACTAGATGGTGCTGTGTGTTAACGTCCCAACATATTTATATTTAACACTTATAAAACATATTGTGTATCTAATGTTCTTTATTTAATATTAATATAAATTCATAGTAAGTTGTCGTTTAAAATGTCATACATATGAAATTAGTACGAAGTCCTACCTATTTTTAAGATTTATTTTTATTATACTTAGTTGCTTTTAGTTATAATTTGACGATATTTTCCAGAAAGACCAGAATTATCCAAAAATGTCAATAATCTGACAGAGTCTTGGTCTACAATGAGCATGGTGTGTCTTCAATATCAGTAAGTTATGTAATTCAAATTCGAAATTATATGTTTATATTATATATAATGTTATGGCAATTGGCTTGGCTCGTCTGCTATAGTGTGATGTCCTCCCGACCGACTTTAGCCACGGTGGCCAGTCTCATTAAGACTAGCCATCTGCGCAGGAGATATTATAGTGCACAAGTGTACTCGCAGACACAAGTACACTCTCTATTCCTGTCACTTACATACTCCGATGGGACGACTACTCGACAGTACCAATGAGAGTTAACGCACAGGACCGTCGGCTTTACGTGCTCTCCGAGGTATAAAACACCGCCAATTTCTCAACTTTGGGCTGTTACTGAGACTTATTAAACAGAAAGACTCAGTAACTAAACTTGGCCCGACCCGAGACTCGAACCCAGGACCTGTCGATGTGCAGCCATACTTGCTAGCCACTACACCACCGCATTTGAGTAATATTTAAATGGATTTTGTTTACTTAGGTACGAAGAGTTATCTAAAAAGTATGGAAATCTACTACAGTCGTACGACGATATTTGTAATACGCTGAAATATCAAGAAGAAAAATTGTTAAAACTAAAAAAACGTATAAAAGAAAAGTATGCTGAGGTGGCTGATATGAATATGACTGTCGTAGCAGTCGGGGAAAAGTATTTATCTCTTAAAGAGAAAAAAGATTCTCAGGTAAAATGATTCCAGGTTTTCCGTTTTCTATATATATTTCAGAACAAGTTTTAATCCATTATTATTTTTCTTTATTTAATTATTCTTGCCATTCTTATGACGTCGAATTTAGGTAGCAGTAACGAATCGACGTGCTATTTTTTACCTTTTATCTTCCGGGATGCTACTTTTTTATCAATAACTACATCAAATTATTTGATATATTTCAATGATCCCATTGCAAAAAGTAACTAGGAACGTGCTTAAACGAATCTTTGGTGTATCACTAGTAATATTATATAGGTACAAAAGTGTTTGTTTACCTTCTTTTATGCAGTAACAAAGTGACAGATATGGCTTTTTGTATAGCTATAGTTTGTGAGTCAGAGCATGACAGGCTATTTTGCATCATCTTAGTACAGTAGGTCATCCTGTGGCATTTAAAAAAAGTATCACTAAATATTTTTAAGTAAAAGTAAATTCAAGCTATTTCAGTTTAATTTATTTAAGTATTCAGACTTTTTTAAATGTGTCTATGTATACAAAAATAATAAAATTTACAGAAAATTTGGTATGAAGAAAAAATTAAACGGCTCAAGATCGCTATACGCGCTATACTATACGCCATAAAGCAAGCGCGTGATGAATTGGACTAGGATTTTAAAGCTTATGATATATAAGTAGGTACTTTGAAATTAAATGCTTTTTAATTTTGTTTTTCAATATAATAATAATTTATATTACCTGACTACTTTACAATTAATTACTAAGTATACAATTTATACAAGATAAATTACTATATTTATTCTCTGCTAAAAACCGTTGCAATCTTATTGTAGGTACCTAATTAGTGTGTATTTACGTATTAATTAATATATACTTAGTTTATAATTATTCTAAAACATAGACTAAGGTATTTAATCTGTAAGAGTATTTTATACATTATAATTAATAACGAAAACCGTCGTCGTAGTGAAAATGATTATGAATGCTAACGATTAACAACGAATAATTAATATAATTTAATAATTGTAATTAAATCACCAATACAATTAAATCAAGCTTTTTTGAGATGTCTAAAGATTGAATATAACTTAAAAATAAAAGATAGGGCACAGCAATATTTTATTACACTTTATAAAAGTCATGTCAAACCATACGCCACCCGCCCTCCACGAGGCACCATGGTCCCAGATGAACTGATTTTGCTTATTATATTTTTGTTAATAAATCATAATAAATGAGCACGATCTAGATTTGATCTTCTCCATACCTGTAATAGGAATTTGTAAATTTTTTTATGTAATAGGTAAGTAGTAAGTATAATGACTATAATATGTGTATGTACAGCACACAGCCCTATTTAACGTCCCACTGCTAGGTATGGACTACTCTTCAATACGAGGGGGATCCCGGATCAGGTCCACCACGCTGGCCAAGTGTGGGTTGGCGAACTTCACATGTCTTTCGAAAACTTGCTAGGTTTTCCTATGTTGTTGTTTGTTGTTTTCCTATACGATGTTTTCCTTCACCGTAAGGCAAGTAGTAATCATGTGGGAAATGATTCGCATGATTATACTTCACATACATTTTTTTGAAAATCTAATTGAAACAGTCATTATTATCAATACAGAGGCCGAATCTATAGTTTTTAGATTTTTTATGTATGTCTGTCTGGGAATGCATTACGAGAAAACCACTGGACAGATTTTGATGAAATTTAGTATGATGACATGAATCGCTAGTAAATAATAATTAAATAGAAAATAAATTAAAGCCTTTCTTATTACTGGTGTTTACTTGGTACTTTTATTTTGAGTAAAACCTTTTTATTTATTTGTATATACCGTATACATACAAGCGCAAATATTTTTCGATAAGATATCACAACAAGCCAGAAATTAAAAAAAAACTATTTTTCAACGTTTTTTGTTCCTTATACCTGCTAAAGTTTTAAAGCCATAAAACTTAAGGTCTTGATTTTTGGCAAAACAATAAAACTTAAGGTTTTGTTTTTTTACCAGGTTCTCATATATTTCCACATATAAGTAGATGTGTGTGAAAGTTAAAAAAAATACTTATCTAAAGTAACCTATCTATAATCAAAATATACATAATAATGTACACTAACTTATAATACGAGCATACCTTATCATATTTTACTAGTTAAACTAACAGGCAAAACTATTAATTCTAAGCTTATTATAATTAAAATTATTTTTCATAAAAGAGAACTCGAATTGCTTCCGGATAACATTACGTGATAGACTCACCTTTTACTGAGAAGTCAAAAGCAAATTATTAAGAAGTCTCTATAACTAATTAACGTATTTTTTATGTAATCTTTTAATCTCTTCGACCATACCATCTAATATGATGGATAGTTCGTTCGAATTTGATACAATGGCTGAATCGGCCATAGCTCCGAACCTAAGTATTCCGTCGTAACATAGAGCGGTTACACCCAGACCTGAAATAAAAACTAAACTTTAACATTACTTTGTAAATTTAAACCTTAATCCATCATTATAAGACTCACCTTATGAAAATTAAAATAATTCATTTTTAATTAAATTTAATCTTGTAATCTATACATATAATAAAAATGTAACGGGTCGCTGTTTGTACATAGAAGATATATGAGAAAAAATATTATTGGGACCTTTATTAACGCAAATAGCACCCAAAACAATGATTGATAGAATTTTTGTCTGTTTGTCTGTGCGTTTGTGCGCTAAACTCAAAACGGCTTATCCGATTTAGATGTGGTTTTCACTGATATATTGTGGTAAGCTTCACTTAACATTTAGTGTTTGTTTTAATGTCAATCGGTTCATAAATAAAAAGGTTATGCCAACTTAAAGAATCACGTCGAACATTTGTTAAACTATCTATATCTACCTATTCTTTCTCTGTTCAGTAGCATTGACTGAAACTTTAATAAACTTCAAAATAATGGTCTATATAAAATTATGATTATATAATAATGATAATATAATTATTAATTTATTAATATCAATAAAAACTACTGAATGGATTTTAAAGAAACTTTACAATAATATAGCTCATACATCAGAATAACATAGCCTACTTTTTTCCCAAAAAAATGTACGGTTTCCGTGGAACAGATTTGTTGTTCTTTCTAGAGGCGAAGCGAGGGTGAGCCGCTAGTAGAACATAAAGTCCAAACGTAACAAACTTTTTTTCAAACGAAGTTCGCCTCTTTGCACCGCTCTATAGGTCAAATGGGTCAACATAATTTGGCTGTATTCATTACAGACTTCATAGCGAATGTATAATCTACTTATCATTGGTTTAATGCGATTATTTCTAGATAATCGCATTAAACCAGTGACCATTTAATAAATTAGGATAGACAAAAAAAATTAATAAGCTAGGTTACTGAGTCTCATATTGCGGGGTGACGAAACTCTGATTGGGGCAAATTTCATTATAGGGCATTAAATTAACCAGGCCGTACGCAATTTTGTTACCGTTTGTTTTACTTTTAAATGATACGCTTTACAGACCTGTGTTCCCTTTGTTTGGTACGAAAAATACTAGAGATTTCAAGTCTCCACCACAGATACTCAACAGCTTTGGGCCCGGCATGTTACTTAATACCATCGTCGCTTGACTGCTATTGAACATGGGGTATAAAATGTCCTTTGGCAAAACACTGCATATCTTTAAGAGATGGTGATTTGTCTGAAAGAAAAGTAGGTATATGATGAATATATATTTTTACATATTACACATAGTAAATACATGTTGGACCTGAGTTTAGAAAATACTAGTTCTTGCCTTTCCTTGAAATCTGTTCAACGGTTTAAGCATAGAAATGTACTCGTAGCAAACATCCATCCAGAGATTACTGCCTACAATATTATTGTAGGGGGTAATCTCTGGATCTACTGAACCGACTCAGATGAAATTTGGTAAAAAGATAGACATAGAAAATCTTTTATCCCGGAAAACATCCCTTAAGGGGGTGAAATTGGGGATGAAAGTTTGTCGCTAGTATAATAATACAAAAGAACGGAATGACCCTTTACAATGACTCGCTCTACCAAGGACGTGTAAAAGTAAAAAAAAATAAAAAAAAATAGAGCAACTGAGGGGGCTCAGACAAGTTGTTCTGTTTTTTTAACTATATTCCCTTATTATATTGATATCGCTATTTATATTGATAACTGAAAATTACAAAATATATGGGAAAGATATAACCTATATAAATATAAAAACTTATAAAAAAAAAATAGAAACCGACTTCCAGGCAAAATGTAAAAAATAACTAAACGGAGGTTTTTATATTTATTAGATTCAAAGTAAATTTAATATATTTCGATACGTAAAATACATATTTACCTATTAGATACCTATTTATATCTTAAAATATTGTCGGCTGGCACCGACTTCAAAAATATCTGATTAGGTATCTATTCTAAATGAAAACCTGCGTTTAGTTATTTAAAAAATATATTTATTGTTGATGTTTTTAAAAACCGCTCGACCGATTTCGATAAAATTTATATGGGATCACCTGGGAAGTATACCTTTAGAAACAATTTTTTTTTCAAATCGGTTCAGGCGTCTTCGAATAATCGGTGAACATACATAAAAAAAAAGAAAAAAGAAGATTCCGACAAATTGAGAACCTCCTCCTTTTTTTGGGAAGTCGGTTAAAAAATGAATTACCGAAATGTATGTATGCGCATAACTTATGATCGGCTGCAACAGATTGGATAAATTTTTTTTGTTTGTTATATAGTCCAGGAGAAATCGGCGCATGCGTCCCGAAATTATTCAACCTCAATTTTTTTATGCGATCCTCTATTATGGTGGAATAGTTTTCGGTACATGCGCCTATCCCCCTGGACTAATTATCAGAACAAGCTTTGTATAGAAGAAAATGAAAAGATTTTTTTTTACTAAAGTAAGATTTTTTTTAAATGTCATGATATGAAAAGTGGGTGGGTGAAATAGTTTTTATCCCTTAGAGGGAAATCATCCCTTAGGGGGGTGAGAATGGCGATGAAAGTTTATATGGGGTAGCAAGCCAGGGATGAACCCGAGCGAAGCGAGGGTGAGTCGTTAATAATATATTATAAAGGATGCATAGCCTCTAATACCTAGCATTGCACTTTAGATATAACTTCTCACCAAAGGATCAGCACTCTCTCGCAATTTGTTGAAGCGCTCCTTTATATCGTATATATCTGTTCCGATTGGTAAATCAAAAATGCTAACAGTAAAATTATTTTCCAACTTCAAATCACCATTTTTAGCCCGCGGAAACCTTATTGGCAATATCACCGCTACATTATTTGGCGCCGGGTCAACTCCCTATTGTTTAGAGAAAATATATTATAAGATAATAAATTAAAATACAACTTATAGAATTAAGTACATATCGATAGAATGTTTTACCTTTAAAAAGTATTCTCGTAAGCCACATGCTAGGGCCGCCGCTAGAATATCTGAGAAATTAAATTCGCCCGAGTTGTCTTTTATCTCCCTAACTAAGCGAAATAAATTATTATCTGTTTCTGTCCATTTAAAAAATTTTCTGCCCGTTAAAGCCGGACCATGCAGAGTGCTTTTGTCAGGCTCTCTCAGTATCCCCTCAACTAAGCACATAGGCATTTCACATAATGTCCGTATCATGTTTAATAAATTATTAGATGTTTTTTTGCTATCAACAGGGTATGTTACTGGCATACAAAACATATTTGAGTCATTTTCTTTATTATCGGCTAACGTCTGACATAAAAATTCTATTAAAGCAACTCCGTCGCCCGCCGCATGGTGTATTCTAAATATAACACCAAACTCTATGGTCCCGTTTCTACTTTGAATTTTTTGATTTGTTATTAATACTTGAAACAAACCTTCATCATTAAATGGAAGTGGTTGATAAGATATTTCAGTCATAATTTCTTCTAAATCAGATTTATTTAGATCTGTAGTATTTGCTACGTCAATTATGCGTACGTATTGGCTTATGTCGATATAACAACACTTTCTCCAATAATAAAAGCCGAATTCTTCGTTTCTCCGATAAAACAGCTTCTCACAATGAGAATTTTGTACGATACTCTGTAATCTTTCTTTTATATGTTCAATCAATTCTTCCGACGAATTAGATTCAACAACACCTAGCACATTAATAATACTCTTAGTTGAATCATCTTCTAAACTCCAAAACACATCGAAACTATCGAGAAAACCCGCAAAATGTTTGTCTTTTCTCTTAATGATTATAGAACACAATATCTTATAAAAATAAGCTACGACTACAAACGCGAGTACTGTCGGTAGAAGTACAATTAAAATAATTAGCACTAAAATTCTTTGCAGCACAATTTCGTTTTCCAGTTTTCTTTTCGCTTTCTTTTTGAATGTTTCAAACTGTAGTTTAAATAAAAATACACATATCAATAATAATAACAAGATTAATCAATAGCTTATTACAAATAGGTATATGAAAAAAGATTTCTTACCTCAAAATTAAAAAGAAAATTGATGAACAGTGCAAGTAAAACACCACTTACGGCGCCATAACTAGCCGCTTTCGAGACAGTAACGCTTTGTATGGTCTTCATTTTGTATGATAAATTGAAGATATTGTCGGATAAATCTATGTTTAGCATAGAACTATTCAACATATTACTTAGGTTCGTCATTTTAAATCTTCTATATTTTATTATTAAAAAAAACTGCCTGAGTGTCTCTTGTGAGACACTCCTAATACAACTAAAGTGAGTCCATTCGGCAAATGTACTTAGAAAGAAAAAGGAAGCCTTAGGACTTTTTAAGAAGGTGTACGATCTAATTAGCTTTAATGTCGATGCTCATGTAACACCTCGTAACTGTACCTTCTGAAACCGCGTTAGTGTCCAAAAAATTATCATTTTCGTTTATTTGCTACTAAGATAATATAATTAATTCTAATTGCTTATTAAGATGCGTTTTCACTGAAAATAATGACCATTGTAAAAAAATATTTTTGGTGGTCACCTGTCACCTCTAACACCGTTTTAGTTGTCAATAATTACTAATATGTTTTAATTTATTTTTTATTTCAGTTTTTGTATTCTATTTAAGGCCCACACTTTAATTGTAATATAAATCGATTAAGGCTTAAACTAATTCCATCGCCCATGGGACAAACATTGATATTTCCAACTTATTTTGCCAACTAAGAGATATATATATACATGCAATCATATATCGCGTATACACATATTCCCATAATGATGATTTCTAAAAAGAAAAATTGTAGTAATTTATACAAAAACTTTAGTCAGTAACAAACGTAGTCAACACTTTGTTCGGTAACTACTGACGAGAACGAGACCATTTGTTAGACCGACCGACAACTTTACGTATTCTACTTCGGCGGATTATATGAGGTTTAAGATTCGTTTATTTCAGGTTTAAGATTGTATCACTGTCAAATTGAAAAAAGGGTTCCGATTTTGCCTTTAGACTACGGAGTCCTAAAAATTAGTTAAGAACGAGCCTTAAAGCGGCCTTAAACCATAATGGCGGGTAATGCCAATTAATATAAATTCAATTACGTAATACACGTGTTATAAGGATTGAACAGACTTTATTTCCTTAATTAAGTAAAATTATTCTGCATTAAATAACAAACAACAGGGAACATAACAAGCGATATTTTTAATTGTAATTGCTGATTTCTTTCGTAGGATAAAATATAAACCTTATGTGACAATACCTTAAATTGAAATAATAATAATAAATTGCTATAAAATATTTTACTATTATATATTTATTAAATATATTATTAGGCGTCTATATTTTTTTCAACTTTCTGTCTTTTAATAAAGCAAAGTATGTTTATCCATATAAAAGACAAAGACGCAACATATACAACTCGTAAATTGGAAGGAACGAAAAAAAAGTTTATGGTTTGTCCTGGAATCCAAAACGCTTGGTTTGCCATGAAAGTTTTCCAGTACTTATCTTTTAATTCTTCAAACACGCCTTGTTTACGCTCGAGGGCTCCTAATACTGTAAATATTCACGCGGTTTAGTGTTAAAATTGGTAATCTTGTTGTAAACATATGTCGAAAAATAATAAAATGTAGCTACTATTATATTATATTTATAACTGTAATAATAACTTTTTATATGATTTTGACACCATTTTACCTTTTATTCTGAGTAGTATGAATTTAATGACAATAAAAGAAAACATTGTTAAGACATTTCTAAGAATGTTATTGAATCTTGAAAAAGTGGGTTGAAATGAGTTCAAAGGACAAATGGAATATTTTGAATTAATACTTGACATACGATAAAATTACTTAAAAAGTTATCTTTTTCATCTGTGTTCTTACCTTTTTTTTTAACGTTGGGAAATGCATTTACGCACGACGTGTGGGACTCACCGGCGTAATACAGCCAGTACTACCCACTAAAACCCAACAAAACCTTCCCCCGTCTTAATGGGGCGTCGCAGGATCGCTTACGCATTCAACTACGACGCCCCGACGGCAGGTCTGCCAAAGCAGACCACCACAACCATGGGGTTGCTCCAAGGTCCACTCTGCTATCAGAGAAGTACCAGGAGCAGCAACCCGCAAGGTACACCATCCCCCGAAGAGGGCCACCTCCCACCACCCACCGAAGTGGGCAACCTCCCTGTGCGTTTCTTAGCTTCGCGCCCGGTTGGATTGCCGGGCACTACTGAGCCCCCCCACCACGACAAGGTGAACGCACGTTGGGGGGGCTGTGTGTTCTTACCTAGATTGACTAAAATAAGAGGAAATTTGTTATCATCATATGTTTTATATATTAAAAACAAACACTCACATATATAAAATCCTGCCAGTAATACAGGGCTCATAATGAACTGATCAGCGGCGACCTTAGCTGCCACTGATTTAACAGCTGTTCCCACAAACTTCTTATCAAGAAACTTGTACCTGTCATAAAATAACATTACAATACTATAAAAAGACATTTTTAAGCTATTCTTTTATATTTTTTCTCGATTTCATATGGATTTTTGGTTCCTGGTATTAATAATGCGTTATAACAAACATGGTTAATATTTATACACTTTGAAAAATATTTGTTTCATTTGGAACTATTACACAAGACGAAGAATCAAGAAAGCCAATCAAAATAAAACCGCAAAAATAAATCGAAAAACATATTTTATTTAAATATCAAACGTTCGCGTAAATCTAAAATAGTCGTGTATAAATAAAAAAAAAAACAAACAATTGTTAAGACCGACTCTTGCTAACATTTATCCAGGAACATAAAATACTAAAAAAATCTCATCTTTAAGTTTTAAGGTGATAATAAAAACTTTTTGCTTAAATTGACTAATATCATCATTTCGCTAAATCGTTATATTTATTAAAACTCTAAAGAAATGCAAATCAATACCCATTTGAAGATAAGCACATTTATATATATTGCATACAATTATTTTACAAATTAAAATTAAGAAACAGCTAGGTATAAAGTAATAGATATTATAGTTAGTGAGATTTTTAAATAAATCCGCATACAAAGAATGTTATAACACAATAAATTACCATTTATACGATAACTCGTATGCAATATGCAATTATAAACATGTAAATACATTCAAATAGTTTTTCTATTTTGAATATCGATTTCTTTCCGCAAAAATTATTTCCTCACATATTTACTCATAAGTAAGTACATAATATATTTAGTATACATGCCTTGTAGCAAAAAGGTTTAAATGATATGTGGTTTAATAATCACTATTAATTATTCTAGACAAAAACACGATTATAGATCTATATAACAGAAATAGGTAAATATTTAAACATAAAGAGGTACTGTCGAGGCCATCGACTCTACATAAAAAAAAACAATCTGTTGCTCTATTTCAGCATGAAAGAAGAACAAACAAACACACTTTCAATTTCTACTATAAATTAGTACAGATTATGTCATATTATAAATAGTTAAAACGTACCAATAATACAAAGTAGGAGCATATAAACAACTGCCAACAGTGACTATACGGCCGGCAGATGCCAAGTCTAGCTCCGGTTTTTCCGGCTGAAATAGATATAAGTATTATGAAAGAAACAGAACCTGTCATTATGATAAATAATATAATAAATTACCTTATACTATAATATTATAGTAATACCTATGTCCTATGATATTTGACAATTTTTGATATCCCAATCTCCAATTCAATATAATCTATAGGTACATATAATAAAATTCTCAGTAGAATCTGTACATTACATATTTTTTGAAAAATCTTATGGAAATAGTCATCATTACAGATAGAGGCCTAATCTATAGGTTTTAGAATTTTTGTCTGTCTGTCTGTGACCGCATCACGGAAAACCACTGGAGGGATTTTGAAGAAATTTGGTATGGTAATAGCTGATTATCCGGGTCAACTAATATACTAATATATAGAACCTAAGAATTTGGTTTTGGTCGCGGGCGGAGCCGCGGGCAATGCTAGTATAATATAAAGTCATATAATGGATCATTTTCTATTCATCAAAATAAATAAAATTTCATTGTTTTAAAAAAAATATGCATCTACGAGTAATACGTCAATTTGCCATAACAAAGTTATATATATATATATATATATATATATATATATATATATATATATATATATATGTGTGTGTGTGTGTGTATCGGATCACATAAAAATGATCATTTGCAATTAACATTTACCACAGATGTTAGATAAGAAAGACATTTACTACACCTCTACTAGCGTAGGTATGTATTTTGATGAGAGTTTAGGTATATTGTACTATACTTATGTTTTTATTCCTTAAAAATATATGATTATGTCTAAAAGTATTCGAAATAAGTACTGTTATTGATGATAAAACCAAAAATAAATATCTACGGATATTTAATTTTAGATGCCGACCCTATACTTTAAAGTATTTCAATTGAACAACTTTTATCCATTTGACCTTAATGATATATAGCATATGATATGATCTACATATTAGTTTGTGATAATAATAGTAGATCTATTCTATTGAGGAGAACTATCCTGAATTACGGGAATGAGTGACATGGGTAGCGTGGCCGAGCGGTCTAAGGCGCTGGTTTAAGGCACCAGTCTCTTCGGAGGCGTGGGTTCGAATCCCACCGCTGCCAATATATTTTTTTGAACATAGATTTTATAAAATCTATATCTTAGTGCGTCACACATATTCACACAAATTAATTATATATTTTTAAAATACATATCTTGTTGCCAACCTACTATAAACATTCGTGCCTATCATGAAGTATCTGATAAGCTAAATATTTTAGATATTCAAAAGACTTATGTTGAACCGAAAATAACGATATTTTAATTCACAAAATTATTTTTCACGCACATCAATTTAAACTTCAATATGAACTTAATAGACATATGTCCTTGAGCCATGACAATTGTAATCTATTGTTGTCCCAAATGACGCCTAAACTTTTGATATAGCATATCCCTAATATCTACAATATTTAGCTTACCTATATAAATAAGATGATTTCTTTGTTACAAGCTCCTGTAGGATGTAGGGCCTTGTAAGGATTTTTAGATATTTCGTCAGCTGAATTTATGGTGATATACCAAATTCTTATACTGCAAAGCACGACGGTGCTCTACATTTCTATTTAGTGCCCGCAGAATGAGTCGCTTAAGTCTCAAGATGCAGATTGACTCCAACTATTGAATCTCCAACTATTGAATTAAAATCTTAGCTAGGCTATATATATATATATATATGTATTTCTAATTCTGAATATTTTTTAGAACAAAAAAGGTTTCCATCGAAATATGGCTAGCATTTCGTGACTGATAGTCAATAAGACCACCTAAATTTTTGCTAAATTCAAAACCAACTAGATAAATGTTCTAAAGTGCTAATAAGAAGTCAAACAGTGTATTTTTTATTTTATATAATTTAACCTTACCAAATTTAATTTATTGAAGGTCTGCTGTGATAATTCCGCTGCAGTGTAGAATGTAGCATATACCAGTGTATTGGTCACCACCGGTCTTCGCTTTAGTGAATGTCGCCACCAGCTCGCCAACCGGGACGCCATGTTTCCTTAATATATACATTTCCACTTTTATAATATTATTTATATACCAGTCTAATTAAAATGGTGAATATTACTTGAATATTGCGCATGATATGCCTAGTATATAAGATGACACCTAGGTTCAGTAATAATAGCGCTAATATATGTAGTAATTAATGGTCCTACTTTGTGTTTCTTGTTTTGGTCACTATATAATATTACAGCAACGTTAGGAAGAAGGATAAATAAATATGTTGGGACATTAACACACAGCACCATCTAGTTCCATGGTAAGCTACGAGGCTTGTGTTATGGATACCAGATAGTTGATACACTACACATATATAAACTTTAAATACATACATATTATAAATATAAAGATCCATGACTGAGTACAAACATTCGTGCTCATCACACAATGAATGCCTCCAGCGGGACTCGTACCCGCGACTGTTGGCACAGCAAGTAGGGCCACTACACACTGAGCCAAACGTGTCGTCTAGGTATGTATAAATAGGTAATAGATCACTTAAGTAACTATCTGATCCCCTCTTCCTGTAATCGTTTGTTGCGTCAGGCCGCTTAGATTTAAATTTTCTTGTGAACTGTAAAGTTACTTAGTATATGTATTATCTATAAATTTACAATATGATAATTTTTGTGTACAATTTCACAGGTCAATGTCAAGAAACAATGAAGTACGTAAATTAATCGACTTACGACATTAGTTTTTGCCTGTTGCTAGGCTCGATTGGTAGGACCTTTAAACAAATTTAAACTACCTAAGTGTATTAAGGATATTTATCTACAATTCGAATTTCATGACGATGATGATGATTATGACTCAATTTATCAGATTTTTTGGCAACAGATCTGGAATTTTATGTGGAAATATACTTATAAAGGAACAAAAAATTTCCATTACATACTGTTATTGATATTCATCGCTATGTGAGCCATACATTGGTTACGAGCACTTCCGTTAACGTCACTCATGGTTCATTATAAACTAGACATTATATGAAATATATTATTAATATATATATAATCTTCCAATAATATAATAATTATATTTACGTACACGAATTAAACTTCCCTTTTTAGATAAGGAAATCATTTATATACGAAATACTTATATATATAGTTTAGCTTACCCAAAAAGTCCCAAAAATATCACTTGTTTCAAACAAAATAATCAAAAAATTATTCTTTAAACACATATATAGTTTAATAATTAATTCCTTATATAGATAAGTTATGATATTTATGTAATAACATAAAATGCTTTATCAGTATGCACGTCTCACATCGCCCAAGCGTCGAGTATGAACTACGAGTATACTCGTACCTCACTCAGAGACAATTGCTTTCAATTCTACATACATACCATAACACTATATATAACTTAAACAAAAAATATTTTTAACTTTTAATTTATTAAGGACAATAATAAAATTTATATAATTATTTATCTGCAATTGAATCAAAGTATCATTAGTCCGGTGAAAATAGACATTCAAGGTAGCTAAAAATTGGTACGAATTTTCGGGACACCATTATAATTGAAATGTGGAAAGTTCTCATCTATTTAACATCAGCAAAAAATACTCAAGGTCAAAGTTCGGAAAAATATATATTTTTTTATTTTTCAGCCAAACTTAACGTAAGTTTTATCTATCTATACATATAATAAAATTGTAACTAAGCCGAATCTGAACATTAAATATTTTTTTGAAAATCTTATTGAAATAAACATTATTATCGATACAGAGGCCGAATCTATAGTTTTTAGAATTTTTGTCTGTCTGTTACCGTATCACGGAAAAACCACTGGGGGGATTTTAATGAAATTTAGTATGATGATAGCTAATTATCCAGGTCTTCTTATACTTTTTTCCTAAGAATCACCATTTCTGAGATAGGTACCTATACGATTCAAAAACTTGAAAAATTGGTGTTCTTCATCTATAAGTACATATAATAAAATTCTGAGTCGAATCTGTACATTGAATATTCTTTGGAAGACCTAATTAAAATAGTAATTATTATTGACACAAAGGCCGAATCTATAGTTGTTAGAATTTTTGTCTCTCTGTCTGTCTGTTCTGACATCACGAGAAAACCACTGGACAGATTCTAATGAAATTTGGTACGACGATAGCTGCTTATCCGGGTCAACATATAGGATACTTTTTACTGCGGGAAAATATCTCATATCTGAGAAATCTATACTAAACGCTAAGTAGGGACGAACCCAAGCGGAGCGAGGGTGAGTCGCTAGTAATATATATATATATATATATATATATACTCGTATACACACGCAAAGTTTACATACTCGTATTATGAAGAATCATCATAATATTGTGACTTACTGGTTAAAACCTGTGAGGTAGTGTACTTGGCGCGTTTATTTTAGCGCGGTCGTTAGTTGTAATTTGAATTTGAAAGACTTACGCCGAAGAGCAGTCACCAGGTTGATTTTCTTCTCACGCTGATGGTCAGCGCTAACTCTCAGCGCGTACTTCGTCGGGGCTGACCGGTCACCGACCCAGCATGAGAAGAAAACCAACCTAAGACCGGGACGGTCGCAGCCGCGTCGACGCCGAGTGCGTTGACGTTCATCAGCGCCGACCAGTCAGTCTTATTAGGGAAACGCTTTATGGTAATACATACATATTGACCTATCAGCGCCGACCGTCAGCGTGAGAAGAAAACCAGCCTAATACTATGGTTAATACTAATTTTTAGCTCTATGCGAATTATTGTAACCATACCCATTTTGTTAGCTAACTTGACCGGCTTACATAAACATTCTAAAATATTAATAATAAAAATTAATGTTATTAAATGAAATGTGGCCACTTTGTTAATTACAAAACTTTTTAACAAAAAAAAACTCAAAGTATCTACTATTAGCCGTTGAAGAGTTCCACCTATCCACCTTCTGGCCTTGCCATCAGATCAGGTCAACAACACCGAACCACTGTACTATCAACGGAAATAGAAATACTTGCAAAGTTTCAAGTCAATATGACAATTATAAGTAGGTTAAATTCATCATTAGTTGTTTTTCCACCCTTAGGGGTGGTATTTTTTTTTTGAAATTTAAATGGGACCAATCTGGAAGTATACCCTTTCAAACAAAACTAAAATTGTCCAAATCGGTTAATAAATGACGGAGTTCTGAGGTAACAAACATAAAAAAAGAAAAAAAAACATACAGTCGAATTGAGAACCTCCTCCTTTTTGAAGTCGGTTGATAATATCCAAAATGATTTTAATATAAGGTAACTGTTTCATCGTAATATGTACTTAAAAAGTCATTTCCTATTATGACTTTTGCATAATAACACAACTTTGAACGATACCGATTACTATTAATATTTTTATTGATAAGATGTTTGATAAAGCAAGATATGTATTGATACTTTAGGCTATCCTTATATATACGAGTATATTATAAAATCTTAACAGATAGCACTTGTTACTTTGGTAACAGCATTAAGTATTATATTATTGTAGTAGCTTTACACACATTGTCATCAAGATATTTACCAAAAAAAAATGACATTATGTTACTACAATAACACCAAAAATCGTGCTACCTAAAAACAAAATGACCAAATCCAAATAACGAAAAAGAACTTGTAGAGTAGATAGAGAAAAATTGTTCTACTTTATTCATCTAAATTCTCGATTATTCTATTTACTGCACTTAAAATCAATACAAAGTATAAACCTTTACAAAGAATCAAAAGACCCACTGTGACATTCTGACTCTGAGTAACTTTTACTACAATGTAGTTTGAAGCAATGGCGGATTTACACATAATCCGACTCTAGGATATTAAATGTTTGCCATTCTCACCTTTCAGTTCCTTGAATTATTATTACAATCCAACAATTTGGTCGACATGATACAAGAAATAGTTTTTGGGTATATTTTTGGGCTAATTAAATTTCAATCATGTTTCGAATTGTTACAGGAGTCTTTCTGGTTTCTGCAAGACGCAGATTCATTAAATACATTAAATTATCAAAGTAAATATAGTCAAGCATTCTTACCAGGAAAATGTTACTTCAAAGGAATTTTAAAATATTCCGTGCAAGCAATGCAATTTACTTTTATACTCTACGAAGCACGAAATTCTCTCGGGAACAGGACATTATGTTTTTCTCTAATAATATTAATCTAAACTATCACTTTAGGCACTTTGGTTTTATAAGTAAGCTTAAAAAATGATTGTTTTCTCTAATATACATATTTAAACGAGCAATTCTTGTATATATATAATCTGAATCTCGGAAACGACTCCAACGGTTTTCATGAAATTCAGTATACGAAGGGTTTCGGGGGCGATAAATCGATTTAGATTAATCTTATGTCTGGGAAAACGCGTGTTTTCGAATTTTCATGCGGTTTTCCTTTACATTATTCCACGCTAAATATTATATTCGATAATTTCACACGCTCGGACATAAGCATCATGGTCAAGCGGCCAAGGCGCAAGATTGAATAAGTGTCCGGGTTCAAATTCGGTATAATTTATTTTTATTTTCTTTTGTATTTATTCAAGTTTTTTTTAAAGAAAATTGTACTTATAACCAAAAACTCCGAGCGAAGCTCGGTGGCCCAGGTACTTAAATCAAATATGAATAACTTAACATAATGTGCAACATACAGATAAATAAAATTGAAGTGTTTGTTTTCTACCTTAAAATAACAGCTTTTTCTAAATGAATATGGAATAATTTACGGTACTTATACAAAAAACACGATTTTTCAAGTTTTGTCTGTCTGTTTCTCTATCTGTTTGTTCCGGTTAATCTCCGAAACGGCTGGACTGATTTTGACGGGACTTAGACTGGCAGAATGCAGCTGCTGTTATAAGGAGTAACTTAAGCTACTTTAATTTTAGAAAAAGAATTAGGGTTCCGCTCAAAAAAATTAAAACGTGCCTAAACGGACGCACCTGAGCGATGCGAAGGCATTAGTACATTTATAAACTTACATGGTG